AAATTTCATGACCTCTTTCCGAAGGGTGAAGTTGTCACTGGGAAGCAGCTACTCCATTTCCTACAAATGTAGGTGTGGCTTTGTGGTATGTTCTCCCCAGTGGAAGAGAATACATATTATTTCCTGGCCAGAATTTTAAAACAGCACATATGTCTTCGCCTCTATTGTCTGAAGCAAATTACCTACTGACTTAAAGGATCATTGAACCTGGTCCCTGAATTACCACATGGTGAAATGCCATCAACTTACTAAAAGACCCACTCTGGGTTATTAGAGCAGCCATTTTTATCCTGGTCAGTAGAGAATTTCTCTTGCGAAATTCATGATTATGTCTTTTCCTTGCTTTTTCTTTCATTTATTGCATTGTAAAGACAGACTTCATATAATTTGGAAATCAATCCTTTATCAGTTATATATGTTGTAAATGCCTTCCATTATTGGGAACTTACTTCCTTTTTAAATGAACTATCAGTGTCTTCATTTTAACATGATTAAAGTTATTAATGCATTATTTTAGGACTTGTGCCCTAGACTTTAGGTGCTTCCTTGAGAAAGTCAAGTTAAAAATGGCAACTGTTCTATTTCACGGGCAAAAGGAGGGGTTACTGTGTCAAGACAAGCACAGACGCTGAGGAAGGGTGGACTCAGATTTCTGGGAAGAGGGGCATCCTGAATTTGCATAAATAGGAGGACACCCCAGGGGAATCCCATCTAGAATGATTTGCTACAGATAATTCAGCATTAAGTAGGTTCTCCTTGTGCTCTTGCTCAAAGAATAGAGCTGTTTAGCAAAATGACGTGCAACTAGACTTCTGTGGTACTGTAGTGTCAGCGTCACAGTGATGTCCTTTAAATCCACACATGCTAATATCAATTCCACAAACACACACACATGCACATACACAGCCCTTATGACTAACAGCTCGTATGTACAAGGCATTGCCCAAAGTCCGGGGAAGTTTGCAGCCTTGGAGAATAGCAGCAAATTGAATCAGTGGCGTGAAACCCATGCTCCTAACCTAATTAATACTGTGTGATAAGAAGCTCAACTAGACACCATCAGAATAGAATAAAAGAATATCGATAGTACATGTTTTGACACATATGCCAGCAAACACATAAAAGATTCTCAGCAGCACTAATCATCAGGGAAATGCAAATAAAAACCACAATGAGCTTATCATCTCACACCAGCCAGAGTAATTAATATCAACAAGGTGAAAAATAACAAGTGTCAGCAAGGGGGTGTGGGGGAAAGGGAACCCTCTTGCACTGTTGGGGGGAACGCAAACTGGTGTATCCACTATGGAAGGGAGTACGGAGGTTCCTCAAAAAACCAAAAATAGAACCCAGTAATTCGCTTCTGGGAATTTACCTGAAGAAAATAAAATCACTAATTTGAAAAGACGTATACATTCCTATGTTTACTGCAGCATTATTTACAACAGCCAAGATACAGAAGCAACCTCTATGTGTCCTTTGATAGATGAATGGATAAAGATGTGGAATAAACAATGGAATATTATTCAGCCATAAACTAGAATGAAATCTTGCCTTTGGGACAACATGTATGGAACTGGAGGTATTATGCTAGGTGAAATAAATCAGAGAAAGGCAAATACCATATGATTTCACTTACATTTGGAATCTAAAAACCAAAAGAAATGCATAAAACAGCAAAACAGACTCATTAACACACAAGAGAGTGGTGGTTGCCACAGGAGAGAGGGTTGGGGAAATAGAAAAATTGGTGAAGGGGATAAAATATTAGTGAGAATTAAAAAAACACAATATGTGTTGATAACAATTCAACAGGATCCAGCTTTCATAGCGCTTTGGAGATTTCAGTCCCCCCTTGGGTTTCATACTGGCATTAGATAGTAAATCATGTGCTTTCCATCAAATATATCTGAATTTTTAAAAGAAAAAAAAGAACTTCTCTGTCTCATGTACTTGAAGATAGCAATATATATATATATATATATATATATATATATATATATATGTATGTATTATTGCAGTGTAGTGGACATACAATGTTACATTGGTTTCAGGCATGCAACATAGTGATTCAACAATTATATGCATTACGAAATGCTCACCGTGGTGAGTGTAGTTACCCACTGTCACCATTCAAAGATACTACAAAATTATTGGGTATGTTCCATATGCTATGCCTTTTATCCCCATGACCAATTTTTTTATAATTGGAAGTTTGACCCTCTTCATAACCTTCTCCTATTTCACCCAGCCCCCTACCTAGTGTCTTATATTTTCATGTAAAATTTTAAAATTTTGTCTTTGGTCCTTGAAGTACATGGAGTTGATTGTTTTTAATGAAGTGTGAGGTAGAGATTCATTTTAATGTTTATCATACTAAAAATGAAGTTTTAAAAAATAAGTCATTTTTAAAAAGTTCGTTGTTTTCCCATTATTTTGCGGTAGAAGTCCCTGACTAAAAATGAAAGAATTAATTAGGTAGTTTCATCTCCAAAAAAGAGATGTAGATAATTCATGGATAATTATCAAGTGGAAGTGTATCAGTAAGGATTTGTTCAGGAGGGCGGAGCAGAAGTGCTTTCTTGTACAATGATTTAAAGAGCTGGGAAACAGAGGTCAGGGAAGCTGCCCTTGAAGGCTAAAAACGCTAAAACTAAAGAATTCAACCCAAAGCATAAAATAGATGGCTTTGAAAGGTTAATGGGTTGTAGTCGCAAATCTCAAGAATCACTGAAAACCTCTCAAATATCTGGGTCTGTCTCAGTAATTCAGAAGGCTCTTAGAGGCTCAGTGGGAAAGTACAGGAATCTCACACCTGCCTATAATTACTTACCAAAGAGTAATGACTTCCCTTCTGCTTTCCAAATTGGTTATGAGTTCCTCTTGTTGGAAAACATTAAACATGAACAATACAGCCAAGAAGAATCTGGAAAATGTAGTTGCCAGCCTCATCACTAGAGTGCAGGGAAGCCTTAGAAGTGGGTGATGGTGATGCTAACAACAGACAGTGCAGCATAGGGCACAAGGACAAGAAAGGGGGATTGGACAGGAGGCTGAGTGCCCATATGCACGTCCAAGGAACAGGATGAAGGATGCCTGGGACAGAACCCTCTGGGACGAGCCCACTGTAGGTCAGCTCACCTGCAGCTGGCCACAGGAGCGTGAGGTAGATTCGCCAAGTCCAGGAAAACCACCATCCCAAGCTAGATCAGCCAAGCCTCAACCAACCCTCAGAATCATAAGTAATATAAATGTTATTGCTGAATGCTGCTGGGACTTTGTGGCCATTTGTTATCTGGCATTTTTGTGGCAAGAGCTGGCTGATACACAGGGGTACAAAAAAGTCCTTAGTCACAAAGGCCAGCGGAGCATCGGTGGAGTGGGGAAGTGTCTTCCTGCCACGGAAGTAAAGCGGAAGGAGTAAATAGTTTTTAAACAATAATCCAATATACCACAGTTAATACCTGGAATGTCGATTTTTCGACAAGTGCTGCACACTTATATACACATGCTACTCAGGAAAAGCCCCTGGTTTTGTGGTGGTACATTCCCTGCAGATCGCTTATTCTCTCTTGGAGCTTCCTAGAATTTCTAAGTGGTCTCCTTAGGAAGAACTGAAAATGGCTCCATAATCAGGTCTCTCACATACCCTGCCTGTGGTCCACAGGAAACATTTTTTGCCTTTATTGCTCCACCATGGAAAGAAATGGAGGTATTTCCCAAACATAATTCTATTCCCTACTTCCAATCCTCTGTCTCCCACAGCCAGGGATATATATCAGAGTCTCTTAATGATTCTTTCGAAGCTTCTCCCACTAAGCTCAAAGTGGTAGGAAAGTGTCCCCCTCTGTTAAGCAGATTTGGGGTTCACTGTGCAATGTTCTCAAAAACCCCCACCCGTTTACAAGAACTTCCCATCTCCAACTCTTTGTACTTTTTAGACCCACATCTAGGTCAAAGGATCAAGAGTTATAAAATTGATGACTGGGCATTTCATGTAAACGTCTTCATTTGTGTCTCACATCTCACTTTGGTATCTGGTGTCTACCAGTCTTCATACCCCAGCTGAAACTTCAGTTTAACATCTTGACAGGGGCTTCCCTCTCTTCCTTTGATCATCAGGACAAGCGGGAACTTTGTGTGCCTGGATACTTCTGTTTGTTAGGTCTCAGGTAAGGCACAACTTCTCTGGGAAGTCTTGCGTATCCTCCGCCACTAGGCTGAGCCAATCCTTCCTCCCCAGGACACAGTGCTCCGCAGAAATCATTACAGTCCTTGCTGCCCTGAATGTCTCTGGAGTCACACAGCCAAAATTCAAGTCTTCCTTTCACTAACTATGACCTTAAGGTGTTTTTCACCTCTTTGACCCCGAGTTCCCCTAAAATATCTCTTACAGTTGTTGTCAGGATTAAATTAGATGATTGTAATGCACAGTAGGCTCTTAGGCTGGTATCTGCGACAACTGAGGTGACATTTATTTTGTTGTTAAACATCTGTGTTTGGGAAGGAAGCAAGTGTGGGTGAATTCCTGAAGGATAAGAAAGCAATGTGTTAATTATTATGTAAGGAGAATAAAATCTAGCATGTTCTCCCTGGAAGTTCCAGAAAAGCTCAGGGTCCCTGGATGCCTGGGTGCTTGGGTGAAGGAGGAGCCACATCACCACGAAAGTGGAAAATTCCTTAGAAATGCAGGTGTGACAGGCCACATACATTATGTGACAACTTTAACATTGGGGGAAAGGCCAGCCCTGAGGGCTCCCATGTGGTGATACCAGCCAGAGTGACAGAGCATCTTCAAAGTAATTTCTAATCTTATTATCCAGTCCTATGAAGCCAGTCCCATTATATTATTCTCCCTAACAGGTGCAAGAATAATGTCAGCAAAGCGTTTCTGAGTGACAGCTGTGGAAGGAAGACAAATAAGCTATGTTTAAAATAACTTGCATTAACATGTAATGAGGAAATAAGAGCATACAGGTGTTTTAAAAGAACAGTAAGTATCAGCTGGTAGAATATGTCTTCTTACTCAAGAGTTTTCTCAAGGCTGCCTTCATGTCCCTATTCCTCAGGCTGTAGATGAAGGGGTTCAGCATGGGGGTCACCACCGTGTACATCACTGAAGCAATGATGTTCTTGCCATTGGTGGTGCTTGATGGAGGAAGAAAATATAGACCAATAATTGCCCCGTAGTAGAGAGCCACTACTGAGAGGTGTGATCCACAGGTGGATAAGGCTTTGCAGATGCCCCTGGCAGAGGGAGTCCGGAGGATGGTGGCCCCAATACGGCTATAAGAAACCAGGATGCATAAGAATGGAAGCACAATGGCGGTTAATCCCGCAGTAAAGATTACCAAGTGGTTGAGGGAGGTGTCTGAGCAGGACAATTTGAGCAGGGCAGCAAGGTCACAGAAGAAGTGGGGGATAGTGTGGTCAGCACAGAAGGACAGCCGGGCTAGGAGGAGGGTGTGCAAAAGAGCACAAACACACGCAATGACCCAGGACCCAGCCACCAGCATGACACAAATGCTCTGACTCATGATGGTGGTATAATGCAGAGGGTGACAGATGGCCACACACCTGTCATAGGCCATTGACGTGATCAGGAAACTGTCCAAATCAGCAAACAGTATGAAAAAATACGTCTGTGAAATGCACCCTGCATAGGGGATGGCTTTGTACTTCGTCTGTATGTTTATCAGCACCCTAGGGACGGTGACAGATGAGAAATTAATATCAGTGAGGGCCAGGTGGCTGAGGAAGAAGTACATGGGGGTGTGGAGGCGCGAGTCCAGCCTGACGAGCAGGATGATGAGCAGGTTCCCCAGCACCGTGGTCAGGTACATGCCCAGGAACAGGGCGAAGAGCATGCCCTGCTGCTCTGGGGGGACGGGGAGCCCCAGGAGGAGGAACTCGGACACGCTGCTCTGGTTCCCAGGCCTCATGCTGGTGTATCAGCTGGAGGGGCTGGTGGGGAAAGGTGAAGGGAATGTCTCAGGATTTTAAAAAAGTGACCATTGTGACATAGCGTCCTAGAGATATTCTTTTGTTTTAGGTAATGTCTTCATATTTTCTTACAGTTGGTGCATATTTTGCTGGATAAATGTAGAAAAACATAGGTTTAGGTACACACCCACTTTCTCAATCTGATGCCAGTTTCTATATATGATAACACTAACTGTTTAATGTTTATTAAATGTCCTTATGCACTGCTCGAATAGCTTTACATGTAGGAACGGATTCAATAGTCTTACGTATCTGAGCTGGGTACGCACTGTCATTTCTTCTTTTCAGGTGAGACAGCTGAAGCAGACGGTCTCAGAGTCACTGAGGTAGGAAGAGGACACACTGAAATCTGGACTCAGAATTTTGCCTCCAGAGTTTATTCTCTGGACGTAGAACAAATTACTTGACACCAGAAATCTCATTGCTCTTCCTAATGCTGTGTGTAATCATCTGTTTAATTATGCATCCTCTTCTCTACACATTCCATGATTATTTCTAACGTGTTCATTGGCTGTAGACCCAGAATCTATCATAGACAATGAATGAATACACAGTATAAATTTGTCATCAAATAGAAGATGTCACATCCAGTTAAATTAATCATGGCAGCCTCTTTAAGAACCTTTCATCAGGCCTTGTTTAAGACTCAGACTTAAACCTAATAATCCTTGTGTTATTTAGTTGCCATAGGGCATCAAAGAAGTACAAGATAACAGCAGAACATAATTTTTAAAAGGAATTCTAATCTTTTCCGTGTCTTTAAATCTCTAACCTGTAAGAAATTTATTTCCTAACTCAAATCAATATTTATGAAAATATCTATAAATTTTTAAAAGAAGGTAAAAATTCACTATAATGTTTCAAAGCTTGTTACAAAATTATATTGATTATAACAAATAATGTATTTTTGCAAAGATAAATCAATAAATCAATGGAGAAAAATGGCCTAGAAATGGACATGTTTATAACAAGGACTTGGTGTCACTATCACTTTGTCAAGCAATTCAGAAGGCAACCATGGACCATCATCCATCCTGGTTCCCCCACCAGCAACTGGGTGTGATTATGAACCAGCTAATTCCAGTAGATGAAAATTCATGTCAAAAGATAACTTTCAGTACCTATAGCAAAGTAGCCTACTGGCTCCCTACAATGTCTGAAACCAGATACCAAATCAGAATATTTATGAATCCTTTACCATTGGGTTTCCCAGAAACAGGTGAAAGATAGTTTGCTACTTAGTCCCAGAGGCAGAAGGTTTTCTGCAAGGATTCCAACACCTTGGACCCAGCCCTGCCGCAAAGACTTCATGGCTTGTGGAAAATCAGTGATGGAGCCCTCTAATTTTCTTGAGAGTCTTCAGATTGTCTGGGTCAGTTTTCGTGGGGGGGGCATGCAGAACTATGCCTGTGTAGTGTGCCTTCCAGAACAACTCTGTGCCTTCCCTATCCCTACCCAAAACAGCGCCTGCAATAGGCTGCTGGTATGGAAATTCTTTCAGCAAGAGAAAAAGGCTTTAAGGTCCCACCTATAGATTAGGTTTAAAACTGAATATCCTTGGGAGAGAGAGCCCTATGCCAGCACTCTGAGATGAAATGGCTGGTCCCCGGTCACATGGAGGGACCAGGTTTGGATGGCAGAGCGAGGGTGCTGACCTCCTCAGACAATGAGGAAGGCAGAGGGCTGGGGATTACAGGCAGAATGAAAGCCGAGGCTGCAGACACAGAGAACAAATGTGCTGTCTTTGCATTTTGGCTAAAATGACTACTGTAGGGCTAGAAGTAGTCACATTGTCCATAAAATCTGATTGAGCAATAATTTGCACCAGATGCTTTTCAAATACTGTTCACTTCTTCCCACAACTGTTTAACATAGGCATCCTGAGCCTCATTTTAGAGAGAACTCTGGCACTCAGTGAGGAAACTTGCCCAGTGTTATATAGCACTAGCATCGGGTGAGCCTGGGGTTTGATCCTAGCTCTATCTGCCTTCAAAGACTATATCCTTACTACAGTACGTGCCTTCAACTATATCCTCAAGTAACATAGTATTTTCTGCCTGAGAGCAGTCCAGAATTTTAGGAGGTATATCAGGAAGTTCAAGGATGAATGAAAATGAATAGTTTGAAGATATGCACCTAAATGGAATGTCCATAATAATGATAACAGTAAATTATATTAACAATCATTCATTGATCTGTATTTAATGTGTGAGTAATGCAGGGCAGCTGCCGGGACATGTACTTTATATCACAGCAGCCTAACAGGACCACAAAAAAAAAGGCATTATTCTTATTTCACCAGTTGGAAACAGGCTTTGAGAATGTAAGTAATTGACCTGAAATCTGTCAGCATAAAAATGATGGGCAGATCATTCAATCCCAGATTTATCTGATTTCAAACCCATGTTCCTTATCACCATGCTATATTGCCTCCGGCAGAGCATTATTTGATGAAAAAGGGACATCTGCATATGTGCTCCTCATTACAGAGAAGATGGGATGGATAATTTCCCGCCGGCCTTTGGATGGACGTGTTGTGTCAGACCTTGACCAGATGATCAGAAGTGAATAGAGAGGCCAGGATACCAGCTACCAGCTTTGCAAAGACAGCTGCTCATAAAGTGAATTTCTCATGCTCCTGGACAAAAGCAAGCCAGGCTCTGGTCAATGTTAGACTCTAATTTCTATCAATAAGGCAAAGATTTAGGCAGCTGTGGTACAATCCGTTGCAAGTCATATCATGTAGCCAGTAACATGAGGTCATGAAAATCTTACAATTTTTGAAGGAACATAATATGAAAATTATATATAGACATGTTTACAACTATTTGCAAACATAATGCAGATTATATTATGTCATTATTTTTTTATTTTTTTATTTTGGTATTGTTAATGTACAATTACTTAAATAACATTATGGTTACTAGACTCCCCCTATTATCAAGTCCCCCCCTCACATACCCCATTACAGTCACTGTCCATCAGCATATTATGTTATTATTTTTAAACCTGGAAGATTTTGCTCACAGCTTGGATGCATGCTAGATACTCAGCAAAACTGTGCAAGAGAGAACATTTTACTAGAGATGAGAGTACAAACCCAAAGGAATTCTAATATGTCCATCTAAGCTATTTGAGATGACACAAAAAATTATAAAAGTGCTTAGAACAAGTGTATCTATCTGCAAGATTCTGTAGCAGATCATTTACACACACACACGTTTATTGCTAAGCACTGACCTTACCTAGCTCAGGAGTGATAAAGTCAAATACTGTCAGCTCCAGGGTATGAACTAATTTTTCTTTTCTCTCCAAACATCTTAGATCTGCGACAGGGAAAAAAGTCACAAGCTCAGCCTTCAAGTGGGGAGGAAGTACACATGCTCTCTTTTCTACCAGATCGATTTTTACCAGCCATGTTGGGACTCAGGGGACCAAGGCCATAAATTATGGGCAGGGACAATTTGGGAATAATTACTACATTTCCCTTATCCATTCTCAGTGGAGATGTGCCTTTGCCAGATACTAAACATAGTCAATTCCTTTGGGAATATAAATGAGGACTCACTATTTGCAGATTGATTTATTAAGGAATTTTTCACATCTATGAGCTCATTTAACTCTACCAGTAATTCTTGAGGTAGATAGTATTTTTTTCCCATTTTATTGCATTTGAGAGCAGCTGAAAGGAAAATGGCCAAATGAGAATTGAAATCCAAATACATTAACTTCAAACCTAAAGCCTGGTTCTATGACAGCATGATGCCTCCCTTGTAATGGTGGGCCCTGTATCAAACGGGCTTCTCTCTTCCCACTTTCAATCCGGAACTAGGGGAAGAGTTGTTACCTTTCCCTGGGGAATAAATTCACCAAGGGAAGTTGGGCTTCTGTTTCTCAGAAACAGAGACTTTTTTCTTCCTATAGAGACACCTGAAAGTATGCAGGTTTTTTTTGAGGTGGGGGCAGGGTTAATTGAGTCACATAATAGTTGGTACATCCGCAGGGCCCCAAATATATTCTTTAACCATAAGAATGAATGTGACAGAAACCTACCTTTAGAAACCTACTCCATTCAGATTGGCAAAAACAGAATAGACACAGAATCAAGTGGAGGATATAGCATTTTATTCATTACTTTTTTTCAAGAATTCATTCACTTACTCATTCATACAAGTATTGCAGAACTACTAGGTGGCAGGAATTTTCTGAGGTACTGTGAGTACTGATTTGAAAAGACTGTTTTTTTTTCCCTAAAGGAGTCCCCAACCTAGGGAGCTGGAGAGGCAAAACCATGTGTGCCAAATGCTGTGACGAGGGCGAGTGCCGAGGGCTGCGTAAACACAGGAAAGGTGCATCCAACCCAGATTTAAGGCGTCACGCAAGGTGGGCTTTAGGAAGGTACAAGGAAGCAGAGCCCCAAGACAAGCCGAACAAGCAAAGGGTGACGTGGACCGTGTAGAGGCAGAGCACTTGGAAGGGAGAAACACAGAGGAACGGGAACAGACCTGGAGTGAAGGAAGGACGACAAATTTGGGGAACTATTACAGGGAAAATAAGAATGGCTGAAATGTACCCTTCAGCAGGGGAGGGGGTTCAGGATGAGGCCAGAGAAAGTCACAGGAATGAACCACGGAGAAGCTTGGAAGCTATGCTGGACAATTTGCATTGTATCCAAAAGGATGGGGAGAACCACAGAAAGATGTGATCGGAAGATTAACAGGGTCATGTTAAAAGCTATCACTCTAGGTGAAGAGTGGATAATGGGCATGTGTGTGCAGAGGGTGGAGGGAGGGCAGGGCAAGGATGGGGTGATGGGATGCGAGACCATAAGCAAGAGAACTGGTTGGGAAGTGGTCACGGCTAGTCAGGCAGGAGATTACGGAGGTCTGTCTAAGAGCTGGTGGAGCTGGAGAGAACCGCGTGGATTTCAGTCTCCTTC